TCCAGTGGTGACGGCGGCAGGAAGCACACAGGGGAGGGCCATGAGCAGGAGGACACCCACTCCGAGTGAAAGAGCCTGGTGCCTGGAGATAAGAAGAGCTGGAGATGGTAGTTCCAGGGCCCAGATAAGAGTGTGTTTTGACCAAGTTGAGCTTTGTTGGGTTAGAGCTCACGCTGAACAGATCAGTGGCTTCTAGACTATTCAGAGCTACACAGCCATCACCATATTCAAAGTCAGAACATTTTCATTATTCTCCAAAGAAACTCCGTTCCCATCTCCAGCCACTGTCATTGTCACCCAGCCCTCCTTTGAAGCCCCAATTCACTATGGTATCTACAGATTTGTCTGTTCTGAATACTGGAACCATCTTCTACTCACCACGCTTTTAAGTTTGACGATATGCTGTAGTAAGCACTCACTGATGGGCTATCTTATTATGCTTCATTAATTACTGTGTGGGTTTGTGTTTGTGTGTATGCTAACAGTATGGCTCACGTGGAAGTCAAAGGAACTTGTGGGAGTCAGTTCTGTCCCTCTACCATGACCTAATATCTAACGCAGGAGACCAAGAGTGGAGGAAGGCCCCTTTGCCTGAAGCCATCTGACTGCCCCTACGGCCAGAACGAGCTTTGCTTATCCGCCACGAGTATTCCTCGTTTCTACTTTGTGGTTTCTGAATTGGAATCCACATACAAGTCTTTTTGTGAGCACCTGTGTTTACTTCCAGGCTTACAGCCAGCAAAGGGACTCCTGTTTGCGCAGTTCTACGCTTAACTTCCGAAGGACTTGCCGGTCCCACTGCGGCCACACCTTTTATGTGCCCACCAGAAAAGCACAACTTCTCCACACTCTCTCAAAACTCGTTTCTAAATTTACTGCAGTATTCCTAGGGAAGCCGAGGTGTCTCCAGTGAGGTCTGTCCCTCCTTCCCCAGCCAGCTCTTCTCGGACACGCCATTCTCCTCCTAAGTTCATGTTCCTCTTTTTCATAACTCACCAAAGCCAATCAGTGCTGGCCATATGCACATGGGTGCCGAGCCCCCCACTGGAGGCCACAACCCGGAAAAGCTCGTCACTGGCTCCTCAGCTAGGGTGAGGCTTGATGAGACCTTTTTCACCCTGGAACTTGGACTGGGCTGGTCTTGTGCTGGTTCTGTTTAGGCAACCACAACAGCCTGGAGTTTACGACTGCCATGGGTCTGTTGAGCCCAGAAATCCTCCCAACCTTGGGCTCTTCCAGTCTGTCCACACCCTTTCTGTGCTGTTCCCCGACCTTGCGGGGGCGTGACACACCCACGTGAGGTGCAGTGTTCCAGCCCCTCATTCTCACACCGGCTGTAAGTCTGTCATCTTTGAGTTTGTTCCTAATAAATTACAAACCAGTCCTTCTCGGGGGATGAAAATCTCCAGGTGTTTCCATTCTGTGTGTTTCTTTCCTCTTGCTCAGTGGTGTGCTTTGAAATGAGAGTGACTATTAATTTCAGTGTATCCCTTTCCTCCTTTGTGATTTGTGCTTTTCTGCTTTTATCTGAGAAACCACCGTCTGACCCAAATCACTGAGATTTATTCTTGTTTTTTTTCTAAGACTTTTACGGATCTTTGCTCGAGTCTTTAAATGGGGAAGTGAGACTGTGAGTTTGAAGATAACGTGACCGTCAGCCACTATGCCATTAAAGTTTCAGGCCTGGCTGTTCTCAGGGACTGGCCCTCGGCTGAATTAATCTGTGCTGGTTTTGAGTTTGGGTTTGAGCTACTTTGTCCCAGCAGCCCTAGGACTGTTCCAGTTCCACAGAGAAGCTCAGAATTCGGAAGCAGATCCAAACGCCCTCAACTGGACAAGGAGACCAGCGCTGTGCACAGTAACCACGAGAAGCCACCAGGCCTGCGGGATAGAGCTTGTGCTGACCTGACCCAGGGCAGGGAGGCTGTGGGACTGCTCACACAGTTCTGTCCACTCCCCACTGCAACTCAGTGTGAACAGCAATGGGACCCATGGAAACCTCAGCCTCCCCTAGCGGAGAGCAGCAGAGAACACAGTATGAACCAGCATGGGAGGAGTAGGCCCTGAGCAGGTAGCTCAGGCCTAAGTGGCTTTCTCTGCAGGCAAAGGACCCGAGTTCTAATCCATGGCTGCCTGTGCCTGTAACCCCAGCTGTGGAAGATGGAGACAAACAGGCTAAGTGAAACTTCAATCTTCTGGCTCTATACTGTCTCAAGGCAACATGGCAGAATGCTGGAGAAGACACCTGACATCCTCCCCGTGTGCACACATGGTCATTCACAACCACAGACTTGTTTGCATGCAACACACACACAATTGCTTCCTTCCTTCCTTTCTTTCCTTGAGATTTTGGCTGTACAAGCTCTAAATGTTCAAAATACAATATAAACCAATTCTTCCTTTGCGCAACACCGTTCTTACATGAGGAACGCTGACAGCGTTAGTCCAACTGTGTGGTAAGCATTAGCTGCGGCTGGAGAGTGAGGCCAGTGGTAGACAGTGTTGGCTGCCCAGAGGGCCTGAGTTCAACCCCCAGCCCAGTGTATAGCCCAAGCCTGGTGACGCAAACTTATTCTCAGCGTTAAGGGAGTCAGAGCCAGCCTAGCTTAACTGCAAGCCAAGGAGAGATTCTGTCTAAAAAGCCAAGGTAGCGTCTAAGGGTAACACCGAAAGGTGACCTCTGACCTCCACACACCTACCCTCCAAATAAGCAGATGCTAAAACTGATTTATAAATTAATCCTGATACCATCCAGGATATGCTATATCCGTGTCAATTCACTGCATACATGATCTAAGAGAAACGCTTCATAATTCAGTAAAATTTGACACTTTCTAGCAAAATACCACAATCTTAAGAAAAATGTACCTTATTTTAATATGCACACACACTTGTCAACTCCAGGCCATCGCTCCTTATTCTTCTGTCTTGAGCCCTCTAAACAGCACACAGGGAGCAATGTGAGAAGGAGGAAACCTGAAGAGTGTGCAGTAGAGAAGGTGAAATGCCATCACAGACCCTGACCCTTCCCAATGAGATGACCCAGGAGGACAAGTGGCTGGGGAGGTGGCCCAGTGACACTGCACACATTTAGCATGCACAAGGATTGCTTGTGACACGGCCTACACGCAGGATACACAAGGAGTTGCCCACAGCCCCATAAAGATGATGGGAAAGTGTGATGCATGAAGCTGACTAAACAGTTCACACGCAGCGGTGCGCGGAAGATGGCTCGGTGGTTCAGAGCACTTGCTGATCTTGAAGACATGGTGTAGCTCCCACACCCGCATGGCAGCTCACAACCACCTAACACTCATTCCGGGGTTCAGCATTCTGGCCTCTGTGGTATGAGGTGCTCATGTGGTGCCCAGGCATATGTGCAGACAAAACACGCACACACACACACAGTAAAAATAACTGAACTGGGAGACTGTAAGACCTGGAGAGGACAGGCGCTCCACAAGGACAGCGGCAGATCCCAAAAGTCTGGGCACAGGGCTCTTTTCTGAAACTGAGACTCCAGCCAAGGACCCTCATGGAGATGGCCTGGAACCCTGCACAGAGTAGCCTAGGGCAGCTCAGTGTCCAAGTGGGTTCCTTAGTAATGGGGACAGGGACTGTCTCTGACATGAACTGACTGGCCTGCTCTTTGATCACCTCCCCCTGACGGGGGAGGAGCCTTACCAGGCCACAAAAAAAGACAATGCAGCCAGTCCTGATGAGACCTGATAGACTAGGATCAGAGGGAAGGGGAGGAGAACCTCTCCTATCAGTGGACTGGGAGAGGGACTCGGGTAGGGAAGAGGGAGGGTGGGATTGGAGGGGAGGAGGGAGGTACAGGGGGACAAAGTGAATAAACTATAATTAAGAAAAAGAAAAAAACAGAAAAAATTCACACTCGTGACAACGGTAACATTCCTTTCTGATGTGCTATTTCTTAAGAATGTCACTGTGGGTCATGCAGTCACTCAGGACAGATTCACTTCCCATTTAGTAAATGACTCCCTTGGGTTTCTGCATTTAAAATGAAAAGTCACGGATACTAATAGCACACCAGGCAGAGGATGACACGGGACGCCTCTGAGTCAATCTTTGAGCGCCCTGTAAGGAAATGGGCAGAGCCACACCAAACTCCAAACTCCTCACTCAGCAGCTGCAGCAACTCCAAAAAGCAAGTAGCAAACACCTGCAGATCTGTGCTGACACTCACCTAGCCGGCACTTCCTAAGCCGAGCACACACCGTGCGGCGCTATGGTCCCTGGGCAGGCAGTGTGTAGAACTTCAGAGTTAGAGAGTGGAGAGTCTCCGGGACACCACTCCCAGCAGCCCCCCAGGTCCGTGGGCTGCTTTATATTGCTGTTATTTGCCATTCAGAGATGGAACACCTCTTTTATAGTTAGTGTAGGCCACTTCACACTGTGTCATGCACTTCAAGTAGAAACATTATCAATCTTTGAGCTATAACTTGAGTCTTAATCTTCTTTTAAAGGAAACAACATTAGCTTTTATGGTTTGGATGTGCAAAGCCCCCCCCCCCACACACACACACTTATGAATGTGAGCATTCGGGTCCCCCTGGCGGCACTGTCTCGGGAGGCCATGGGACCTTTGCCACTCTGGCCTAGCCAGCAGGACTGGGTCACTGGAGATGAGGATCCATTCCCGTTTCTGTCCTTGGCTCTCTGCTTCCTGATCTAAAAGTGCTGCCACAGACCTGCATGCTAACCTCCTGGCCATGGTGGAGACTTAGGTTCTCCTCTTCTGTACTTTGCTTCATTCAGTTCTTCTTCACAGAGAGAAGAAGGCAAGTGATGCAGAAACATGCGATAGGTATGGCCTAACTGCAAGTATCACTGGGCAATTCAGAGAGAGCAAGCAAGTAGCAGGGCTGCTGCTTTACTGCATGACACAGACAACCGGGTCTGAAAAATTAGCAATTCTGTTAACCTGAAACACGCAGCACTAAAGACAACACACCAAACAGACAGGCACACATGAGAACTTTAAAAGCCAGATATATTTTAAAAAGATCATGCTTACAATAAGAAAATTATGCAGTGAAGAAACATCAAACGAAGTTGAATAAAAAGGCACATTTGAAAAGTTTAAGAGTACCAGGAGGTCCTTGTTGGTTCTACTAGTACAGGAGGAGAGGGAGACAGATATATTACAATTACTTTCTCGGGGGAAGGTGCTGTCAGCGGACGTGATTAACACTGGCTTCTTTCTCCCCTCTGGGGTGGTCTTTCCTTCCATGGCTTCTGAGAGGCATGTCACTCTTCCGCCATGTAGAAGCGATACATCAGGGCTACGGCCAGCGCTGAGATGGCTGGGATCACCCAGTTGGTCCACCAACTAGAAAGACACATGAGCAAAAAGATGCTTAAGCAGTCCGCAATGCCGAGACCTTAGCCCCTGTCCCCTCTGAGGGAAACCTACCGCAGCATATCCTTCTTACCCTAGAGTCACTTTGGCTGTCAGAACAGCTTGACTTGGCTAAAATTCACTTGAGCAGAACCGTCTTGGCTAAAATTCACTTGAGAGAGCCCTGGAACCGTCACTGCTCTCTCTCCTGTTGTCACCATGAGGAAGCTAACAACCTCACTCTGCCCCCAGCTCTTTCCATATGCTTTAGAGAGCGTTTAACAGCCTCCTCAGACATCCACTGTCCCACAGTAAACTCGGGGTTACCTAGCACATGCTGACAAAGGAGAAATGCCCCTGGCGTGCTCCGTTCTCTCACAGGCACTAAGCAAGCATTCTAGGTGGCACTAAGATGAGACTCAGATCAATGCTCTCATTCTGAGTCAGCAAGCTCTGCAGCCGAGAGCCTGCCCGGGCCCAAGGTGCGTGACAACCTGAGGCTGAGTACCAAGGCTGCCACCCAGCCTAGCTCTACCAGTCTCAGATCCTCCTTCGAAAACCCACCCTCACTGTCTGTACTAGATGGATTTAAACTGGTAAGAAAAGCATGCCCTAAGCCCCTAGTCTGTGGTCTATCTCCCAATCAAAGGCAGATCTGATTTGTATACTGCTCAGTCTCTATAGGCTTTCAACAGGTGAGAAAGTAGAGATAGTGGGTGAAATTAAGGACATAGCTGGGAAGAGTGATAATGAAGATACAAATTCTTAAACTGGATTTCAATCCCTAAATTTCAACTTTTTAGGAGATGGTTTTTAAACGTGTCTCATTAACTGATGCTTAGCACCTAAGACACTGTGTGTATATTCATACATCTTCCCTCACCTCAATAATCATGTATCAAACTCACTCAAAGTTCAATTCAAAGATGTAAGTGTGAAAGGATTAAAAGTGTAACCTGTTAGGGGAGGAGAATGGGGTTTTTCAGTTTGTTTAGAAAGAGGCTAGCCTGCCAGAGAAAAGGAAGTGACATATATTCTAGAATATTCCCTGCCTGCTGGGAATATTCTAGAATACCAAGAGAGTGGAGCGGTTCAATTTGAAAGAATGAACTACAAAAGTAGGTAGCTTTGGGCTTGAGTCTAAAAAATGAAAACAACAGCAAGACCATTATTATATAAGCCAACATGGCCGAAATGCCAAAAAGCAAGCTTGGGCTGGAATACGGAAGGAAGTCTGGCTCCTGTAACCAGAGTCATGCTGTACTTGGATTAGTGGGTTCAGAATAACAAGTGAAAACTGAGCCTTGTTTGCAGAAACATAATGACCACAGTTTTAAAAGGCACCCATGTGTCAGGGAAGAATGAAACTGAACCTTCGCCTACAAGACAGCCATGGCAGGTCACCCGAGGGACTTATGCCACGGCATAAGAAACGCCACTGGCTCTCTAAGGTCCTGGTGTCAACACATCCAGATGGTGATGATATCTGGGGTCACGGAAAAGTGCTACAAATGACAGTCTAGGATGGAAAGTCACAAAGGTCCGGAACTCATGCGCAGACTGACAGCTGAGTAGCACAGTGGGAATCCAAGCATAGGACCAGAGGGGGAGGAACCAGTCAACCTGGCTTGGTCCCTGCAAGAGACTTCGTCTTAACACAGACAGATGGACAGACAGATGACCACTGCGTACCTGGAACTAGACTCGACAGTAGTGACAAGAGTGTCCTGGAACATAAAGAAAACATGAAGTTAATTTCCCGTCTAAGCACTTATCCCTGACTGAAATCCTATTTTAAGATAAAAATCACTGTATTTTATTCAACTCTATCTTTTAAAAATTCTTAAAAGGCAAAATTATGCCCGAGTTCTTACTTACTAAAAAGCCTAATTTCACCATTTTTCAAGAAAATAAAATTTTAAGAAATATATTTAAATTACTTAAGAACATACACTGCATAACTTGAAAATGTTAAGATATATAAATATAATAACCCACACTTAACATTTAAGCACTTCAACATAAAAACTCATGGACAAAACATATACAAGACTCCACCACTGTCTTTGGAAGTGAACTTCTTCAAAGAATGGAATATGAATAAAAATGTCATTTATTTCATTCAAATCTGATAGGGCGTGAAAGCCCTATTACACCTAAATTACATTAACAGTGTTTCAACCAAAATGAAAGAGTAAGAGTCGCCGCGTCACGTGGCAGAGCACCTTTTCTGAGGCTTCTTTAAGTCCCTGGATGGCACCAGGGGGATGTGATTAACTCAGACACTGCTCTGCCTACCCAACAAATAAAGCTCTGTGTTTACCTTCTTGCACTCCCTGATCACAGCCCTTCTCGGGAGGACTATAAAAAATGTGTATTTTCCCAAACTGTTCCAAAAGTGCAGCCCATGGAAGCACACACACTTAGGCTTTCACACACGTTAGGAAGCACTCTTGTAATATTCCACACCAGCAAAACTGTTAGTGCCTCAACAGAAGCAGCTACAGACAAGCCAGCTCCAGGAGAAAATCAGGTGTGTGGCGCCCTGCAGATGAAAAACACCAGGAAAGCAGCTGTCTGCAGCAAGAAAGGTGATGCCCCTGCAAAGCGTGTTAGGGAGACGACCTCGGAAAGGCAAATGCATTTTGGGGATGCATGAGCGAAGCCGGGCAACACACACCAACCTTGACACATCACCGTTAGGGTTCCTGACACAGAAGGGGAAGAAAAACGAGTCATTTAAAAGTTAAGCAATCTTTTAAGCAATTTTAAATCCTAGTAACTATAGGAATTCATAACCAGCACAATTATTTCTATGAGTACATGAGTACAATTAATTGATTATAGACAATTAACTATGCAAGCAATGACAGTCAGTTATCGAAAGAAACAGAATCCCGTAAGACACGGCAGAGCTCACTGATGACAGGACACTGTGCCACGCTGGAAAGTCAGTGTGAGGAGACAGACAAGGATGGCCTCTAGCTTATGGTACAGGCAGGGAAACGTGCAGGACACCCTCTGCACCCTCTTGTGCCCCTCCTTACCTCCCCTGTCCTGATGTCTGCACTCTAATGTAAAGGCACCACTGTGAGCTGAGGCTGAGGCTGAGGCTCAAACGCCCACACCACTTCAAATGTAAGGGCGGGCCGGATGGCCCAGCAAGCACAGGTACCTGATTCAGGGCCTGACAACCTGAGCTTTACTGATTCCTGAGAGCCACGAGGTGGAAGGAGAACCAGTTCCTCTGACCCATGTGTGCACACATGGACAAAGTAAACAAATATTAAAAAACTAAATATAAGTACGTAAAATGTGGCTAGCATATCATCACAACCACCATCACTGGCGATGATGACTCTCCAAAAGGTAGAACTTAAAAAACAATCTTCTTCCTAGCCTTCAAACCCAGAATGCTTGAGAGTTTAAGTTGCACTGGGGGAAAGAAGCCCTGTTTCCCTGCATGTTCTGAGGGGCTCAGCTGTCAGGGATCTGCCACACGGATCAACAATGCCACCTGCTTACTGTAAAACCTGGAGGCCTTCCAACTTACAGCAAAAAAGGCTGACAGCCATGTCCAGCACATGTGATGCCTTACAAAGGTCGTGTGACTCAGCAGAATACCAAGTTCATCTAGCCTCGCTCAATGCTCCCCTCAAGTACAGATGGTGTAGCCTTCCTCAAAGAGGAGAGCCTCCAGGAACCTAGGAGCCCACCACGGACAAGCCAGAGGTTGGGTGTGTTGAGGCTGAGCTCCCCAGCAGCTCACCAGAGCTTCGGGGCCTCGAGGTCTAGAGATCTCAGAGACAAATACCACCCTGATGTCATTGTGCTCTGAAAGTTAATACCAAGGAAAGGCACCAGGAGAGTTAACAGCATATTTATATAAGCAAATCTGGTTGCTCTGGATACACTTAAATTGTGTAATTCGCATCTATAAAAACCTTAACTTGGCAATTTAGTTTCTTTTGGGCAGGCTCAAGCTAATACTCTCCAGTACATCTTATTTCTCAAAGTTAAACTAGACACTTTAAGTAACAATTTCCCCTCAACACTGAGCACTAACGCACACACCAGGGCCTTATGACGTCTCTACAGCTTAGCTCCAGCTCCAACCCCAAGCATCAAAACATCAGACCACAGAACGTGTTTCCCAGATACAGACGATTACACGTGATCCTGAGAAACACTTAAGGCCCCAGTGTTCTTCGGCAGAAATAACAAAGCCCCCAGAAAAGCGGCAACACATTTTCTTCCGTGTCACTTGCTCCTAGCCTCTCAAATAACCAGTAAGGGTCACCCCACTTTCTCCCAGCTGCGCTCCTATTTAAGCAAAGTCATAGTAGCGGACAAAGGGGGGTTTGTTTGTTTTAGAATAATAAAACACCGCAACGTTGCTCCATTTGTAAAACGTTGAGAGTAAAAGTATCTACTTTAAACACCGAGTAGACTCAGGCCCAGGGAGAGGCTCCATACCCAGGGCATCACAGCTACTCCCTGCTCACATGGGCAGGAAGAAGGGCTTCCATCACCCCTGACAGCCAGAGTCCCAGAATTGATCCCCTAAGGGTGCTCTGTCCACCAGCTATTCCAAACAGCAAAGCAATTACAAATTCAAATGAAAGCTAAACCCCCACAGAACAGCAAACATGGAGGGCACACGCATGCTCTTCCCCTCAACATGACTTTTTGGGCCAGGCTCTCATAATTCCCAGGCTAGCCTCAACCTCACTATGCAGCCAAGGCTGACTTCTGGTCCTCCTGGAGTCACTTCCCAGGTACTCAGGACCACGGCTGAATAGAACAACAGCCAGTTGTTGGAGACTGAACCCAGGGCCTCACTCATGCTAGGCAAGCACTCTACCAAGAGAGACACAGGCTGCACAATGAACACGTTCTCAGAACACACGGACAAGAGAGGCCTTCGGTGGTCTGTGGCATGAGCGATACTGACCACACACATCTGCCATGGTTAGATGTGGTTCAGGGTAGCAGACGAATGCTCAGCAAACAAACCTCAAGGCCTTGTTTTCCTGCAGGTGACTTACAACAAAGTCAATAACAGCCTAACAACTAACAGGACAGAAACAAACTTCAAGAGGGACAAGTAGGTGCTCCAGAATTTCAGCTGGCCATAAAGCAGCCACAAAGAGCATGTAAGTCAGACTCTGAGCAGCAGTCACTGACAGTATTCAGACTGCAGACACCACTCTTTCTCAATCTTCTTGAAGCACTCTCATCACAGTGGTACAGGCGTCCTCTCTTTTGAACAGGGACAGGGAAACGGAAGTGAAGTGGCCATGTACTGAAAAGCAGTGGGGATCTGCTTGCACTGTGTGAGGGTTGGAGAAGCCTGGCTCCTGCACTCACACTGCTGAAGTCCTCTGTGATGCACCGAGAACAGCCTCTTGTCGGCAGAGACAGGGCAGCGTCTTTCCAGCACTCACAGCAAGCTCAGGAGATGCCGTGTGCCCTCACACTCAGACCAAGAGCACAAAGCAAAAAGGAAAATCTGATTTTCTTGCTCTCATTTTTGAAACAAAACCTTCCCTCAGCCTTCATTACTTAGAGGCCTGAATTAACTTTTCCTGCTTAGACTTTGTCGTCTTCATGTCCTCATACATTCTTGCTCTAGATTTAGTGAGCGAATGTAGGTGAGGTCAGCTCATACTGAAGAGCTAGGGGATGCCAGTGCAAAAGGCGCCTCTTCTGAGCGCCTCCGATGCCACCAAGAAGCAAAGAAGGAAGAGGCACAGGTGCTGCCTCAACTTAAACAAGTTCTAAGTCCTCTGGAAATAAGGCGTATGTCAAATTTTTCCGAGCAGACTCACAGTGACATTTTATTTCACTTCTATCTGGTACTAGAAACTGAACCTGGGGCTTCATGCATGTTAGACAAGCACTTTCCACTGAGCTTTTACTTACCAGACTTTTACTTATTGATAATTACACCAAGACTCTTATTTATTAATAATTATCATGTTTAAAAAAATAATACATTTGTTGTACAAAGTGACACACAAGCTCTCTTCAAAAACACATGGACTGGTAAAAAACAAACAAAGAAAAAACCCAAGCCAAACTTTTGTAAAAAACAGTAAGTTCCATATCTAGATTATCTAGAAAGACCTGTGTAGGCTCTGATCTTTGCCTCATTTTAACACGCACTAAACACACTGATGATACACAGTTACCTCTATGCAACCCTCCTTTGAGATGTTTGGACAAACTTACCGAAGGCTTGGCTATCTTTGATCTGTCATCCTGAAAAGAAAAAAGAGGGGAGTGGGCATTAAGAAATATTAGGACATCTATTAAAGTCTTGTTTCCAAAAGGCTGACTTTCATTGAGAATGTTTAAAAATTACTATTCATGATTAGCACCTGGCATCCAGAAAAGTCAAATGCAAAGTTTGATCCATGTGGTTCTACAACAAACATTAACTGCAGAGTAGTTAGGAATAAGAGGCATTTTCCACCCGCAGTCCCGGGGTTTGGAATGGATTCAGAACTGTCGTATTTGTATAGGAACTGTTTAAGGGCTTACTAGAGTTGAGCTGACCTCTATGTCAGGCAACAACTGAGGTCCAAATGCTTCCCTTCCTACCCCTCTCTCAAGTTCACTGAGATAGGCATCTTTCTGCTATGATGGCCTCAGTGAAGCCTGCAATCTCCCAACAATGCAATCATAAACTATTTAAACCTCAGGCTGAGGATGTGGAAATCCAAGGGCATCTAAATGCTGACCACAGAAAAGCCTGGAAGGGAGGTTACCTAAATAAACCCACCCTCCCTTCTTACAGGAACAGAGCTTAAAAGAACGGGATGGGGAGGAACATTCACAAGGGCAGACCACACAGGTGCCAAACAACCATGCTACTCCTGGGAAATATGGCTACAAACACACATGAGCTGAGAAACCCCGAGGTAAGTGAGGCCTGCTCTCAGAGTACATACCACCTCCCAGCAAACCCAAAAGGCAATACACAAGCAAATAGACACACGGACACACGGACACGGACACGGACACACCTGTTCAACAGAATTTGTACTAAAATGAATTTCTGAGCCTTCTAAAAAGAGTCAACTTTATCTTTCCTCCATTTGCAGTTCTTACAAAAGCTGTCATTCATATACAATAAGAGTCACATATAAAGAGGGATATGCCTCTATTTCTTTATCTATCTTTAAAGTTCCTTGATTTCTTTTCCATGAGCTGGGGCTGCTGGCTGTTTGTCTCTCTTTAGGGAATGTGTACGAGTGGCTACCCTTCACTCCCTGGCTGTAGGAGAACAAACTGCCTGGACTTGTGCTCCACCCTTTGAACATGTCTCTCTGTGGGCTCTCAGAGACTGAGGAGTGTCCCCAGGACAAGGCCTTGGAACACAGCATTCTGATCCTGAATACAGTAATAATAACTGCAACCAAAAAATGCAATGCAAAAAAAGGTTGAATCAATGTATTTATCACAAAAAATGGTGTCCTGTTAGGCATGGTGATGCATACCTCTAATCCCAGGGCTTGAGAGAAAAAGGCCTGAGACGAGACTTGCAGGCCACCTGGTCTGCATAGGGAGCTCCAGGCCAGCCTTTATTGAGGCCTTGTCTCAAACAAAGTATTCTAAAATCAAAGAAATTGTTTTTGTTCTATTCCCTTTTATGTTTTCTTTAGATACAAATCTAGACTTAGCAATGTCAAATGGTAGCCCTAAAAAAGAAGAAGAAAGGACCCTCCTGCCCCAGGAAATGACTTACTGGATGGAGCTCTCCGATGATGTACGTCTTGGACAGTTCTCGCGCGTCAGTAGAGTGTCCAACATCCTCAAAGTTCTCAGTGGCGTCACCCCCCGCTTGCTCTCTTAGGACTTCTTCCCCGCCAGGATGCTGTTCAAAGGACAGGTGCATGAGCAGTCAAATCTTTTCAGGCTAATGAGTTTTAAAAAATGGTTAGCTTATCGACTTAAAGAGCCCAGTTCAGAAGTCACCGACGGCAATGGCTGCCTGTAGGCACCCCACTTCCCTCTCCATTTCCTTGGTGACGGTACAGTAGACACTTCCCCTGATGCTGTGCTCCCATGCTAGTGATCCGGCAACACAAGTGTCATGTGTCACATGGGTGTCCCTTAACAATGTGCTAATGTTTGCTCTGCTTTTCCAGAAAGTTCCCCAAACTTGCCCCCATCAACTGCTCCTAAACTGACTCATCAGCCTTCTCCTTGAGACTGCAAACCTGGGACTCTCCGTCTGAGTGTGGACCGAGGAGAGGCCACTGGTCAGACACAGAGATGTGAGCAGGCTGCCCTTCAGGGTGCACTGTGTGCGCCTGCAGTGCGCAGCCAGCACCGCCCGCTGGCCAGGCAGGCCGGGCAGGCCGGGCAGGCCGGAGGCTCTTTCTAGAGGAATGTACGTACGCTCCATCAGTGCAGCCAGAACACCTACAAAGACTGCGCGTCTGCTCAGGGAAGGCAGGAAGAACCCTCCACGTGGCAGAAGCCTCTTAGTTGCACTAACTGGTAAAACAAAGGAAAGTCAAGGTTCAGGGAGCAGATCTATTGTGTATACCCAGAGACCTAGAGACTCCCAGGAAGAGATCTCAGACAAGCAGAACAGTGCACTCGGTTAACTCTGGCAGGAAAGCAAAACAGAATCAAAAACCACTTCTTAGACTTCAACTGAGCCACCTCTCCAGCACCCAAAACCACTTAAGTTAAGCTTGAAGATGTTCCTGGATCAAATTCATCCTGACCTTTAAGCAAGGCCCTTAGGGTCCAAAGCTGCCTCCCTGCGCAGCCTACTGCAGTCAGGCTTCCCTCTTCCCAAAACAGAAAACAACAAGGACACCTGATACTGTCAAAAGGTGCCCGTTCCTTCTGCTTCTTTATTTGGGCATGTCTAGCACTAAAGCCTAATGTTTCTTCCTTCTTTGTAAAACATCACAAACTACACTGTAGAAAAAAAACAAAAACAAACAAACTAAGGAGCTACAGAAGCTGCTGATAATCTTGCTGCCAAGGAAGTTAAATAAACACGTATATCTGAATAAGCTTTTAAAGGAAAGTTATGATCTTTATCTTATGCACTTGCACTACTAAATACAAAGCAGATGAGGTTCCATGGTCTAGAGACTGTGCAAGTGTGGTGGTTTGAATGAGAATGACCCCTATAGGCTCATAGGTTTGAATGTTTTGTCCCCAGTTAGTAGAACGGTTTGGGAAGGATTAGGAGGTGTGGTCTTATTGCAAGATGTGTGCCACTGGAAAAGGGCTTTGAGGTTTCAAAAGTCCACACCAGGTCCAGTATCTCCCTCTCTCTACATGCTGCCTACAGAGCAAGATACAAAGCTCTCACTGCTTCTGTGGCCTTCCTGTGTCCTCCTGCCATAATAACCATGGGCTAACCATCTCACACTGGACGCATGCCTCTGATTTAGAAATGCTTTCTCTTATGAGTTGCTTTGGTCATGGCGTCTCTTCACAGCAGTGACCACCAACTAAGGCACCATGGGAGCTTGAGAAAATATTTGGGGTCAGACAGGTGGCTCAGCACTAAAGAGCATTTGCCACTCAGAGAAAGCAGATTCAGACACCAGCACTCTGCAGGATGGCTCTCACCCACCTGTAACTCCAGTGCCAAGATCAGTGCGCACCTGCACACACGGTACACACACACACTCAGGCACGCGCACACACACAACACTTGAAAAAGCAAGAAAATCCTGGTATTTGTCTCAAAGCTTTGGGAGGTATTTTTAACGGTGTCAGACATATACCATATGTTCAATAAACACGGCAGTGACTGTACTAAACACTTTGCAGTATTAGTCTCTGTCCCTAATGTGACCTCCTGCGTGGCATAGAGCTTCCCCTAGTTCACTGAAATGTGCTCTGCCCCAGTCATCCTGACAATGACTACCTGATAAGCATCGCTACACGGAGGCTCCAGACACATCTCATAGGTGTGGCGGCGCTGAGCAGGATCTTCTGATTCTGAAACAACCTGGGACTGTGAACACTGATCTGATGACGGAGCAGAAGGGCCTGCAGGTGGGAGACAGGAAGGCACGAAGTCCCAGAGCCCCCAGGTAACCAGGCCCACACTACTGGCCCTCAGCTGACAACAGAGTCATAGTACCTAACCTGGGACTCCTGCTCAGGACAAGTGAGTGTCACTGTGCACCGGGGCCGGCCTGTCTACAGGACAACACAGAAGAGATAATGTCACCATCTGGGTCTGCTCCGGAGTCACGGGGATCCTGGACTGAAAGCGCTGTGTGGGGAAAGCACAGTTCCACCTCAGAAAGAGTGGTGCCAAGGGGCAGTCCTCAATGTAAGCACCACAGAGAAAGGAAGCAAGAGCGTATTTACCTGAAGCTCTGTCCTGGGGATGAACCTTCTTAAACCACTTGTTAGGCAATTTTCTAAGGGAAAACACTTTGGACTATTGGTCTCACTGGCCACTGCTAAATGTGTGTGTATAAATCAACAACTTAGGAAAAACATAACACCAAATAAACTGATTGATGTTGAATTTAACTCTACCCTAAAAACTTTTTGGATGAATGAAAAAAAAAAAAAATCAAAGCTGAAAAGTTGGAATAAGATGAGATAAATCTGAAGCCTTGATAAGACAACAAAGCAGAACATTTTGTAATATCTAACATTTTCTTGAAATGTGAGACACACACAGAGAAAGAGAAAGTGATTGCCATATGAATTAAACCTAAATCATTAAATCATAATTGTCTGAAACTTGGCAATTCTTTCGTTATCCTCTCATGGTTGTTAGCGGGTATGCTGTAGTTTTCAGAAGCACAAGAGTTAGTTTAAGACTATAATGGCCATAAAAAATGAGGAGTGCACATGGTGTTCACATCCTATCCTTTGGGCATGTTGCAGAACTGGGGAACGGCCCACAGAAAAGGCTTTGGAAAAGGAGTACAATCAAACCAGCCCCCGGTGACTGCTTGGCAAGAGTGAAGGTGCCTCAAATGCATAACTGCACACTGGGTTACGCTGGCGGGGCGTAGAGCTCACACAGCTGGTCTTCTGTGAATGTCTCCATTTTCCCAAAGGAATATTTCATTTTCTGTACATGTGGCTCTAGTTAATTCACACAACAAATACATGCCTTGTGCCCCCAAAGACCAGACTCAAGAGTAAACAAAGACAGCCCTGGCTCCTGCCCCTGGCAACCAGGCAAACATAAATAATGTTCGACTGTGAACAGCAAGTGAATGTCACTTCTGAAATCAAGATAGAAAGAAAAAATGAACTGTCACCAATGCAGAAGAAAAGAGCAGAGACAACTGGAGTTGTGAGGACAGGGGTTACAGCAGGAAGGCGTTCCAGTGCAGGGGGCCCTGAGTTCAGGGACAGGAAGGAAGCCAGCCAGGGGCCCAGGAAGGAGAAGGCCAGGCCAGGTCAAGAATGTCTTCCAGATCTCTTCAAGGATCTTAGTCCTATTTGGTGAGCAATGGTAAGTCACTGAAAAACACGTGAAGAGGAACAAAGGTAATGAAGTCATATTTCACTTTGAGAAGAGTCCTGAGGGTGAGAGAGCAGAGTGAGTAACTGAGGCCAGAAAAGATGGAGGCAGCTGGAGCCTGAAGAAGGTGAAGGTGGGAAGAGGGTGTGGGCGTTTGGCTGAGACGTGAGTGTGCATTGAGACAGTATGAATGGGTGTGAGACAGAGGTGTGAACTGGAAGATGTGAGACAACAGGGCTTCCAATCAGTGAGGAGGGACTCAGGCATTTGATGAACGGATGCTCAGGAGATGAAGCACAGTAACAGCAGAACCAACTGAAGGAAGTGGGATGGGAGTCCCGCAGGGGCCAGATGGCAGGCTGTCGGAACAGCCTAACACACTCTGTCCACACATCTTGCGGGATCACATTCCTTCCCTGTACTTTTGTCAATCCACAGCTTCTTCAGCTCCCCCGATACACTCTGACCCTGGCAGAACACGAGCACTCCTAGAGATGAGGGCCACTAAGAAACGGCTCTGGACAGCTCTCACTGTCTGATCCTAAAACAAATAAGAACTCTGTTTTTAAAGGACTAAGTAAGCACTGTCCATACCTGTAGAAATTTCCTGCCACACCTCCAACTTGGCACTCGTCCAGGAAGCCACGGTACAAGCAGGACATTCCTTGTCGAAAAACCCCAAATACAAAACCTACTGAGAGATGGCATCATACTCCAATTGGAAAATTCTCTAATTTGACTGCATGTAAGGGATCACAGTCGAAAAACACAGGCAACACACATTACCCGCGGGCATATGTATACGGAGGACACGGCCTCGCCACACATCCCGCAAGGGTGAAGTGCGCTCTGAGCAGGGAGGCTGTCGGCCTCCCAGGACCGGCTACGCTACTGGGAGGACACCCAGTGTTGCGAAGGGAGCCAGAAGAACCCTCCTGGGTTCTTCAGTTACAGCACCACATCGATACAGAACTCAGACTACTTAGAAAGAAAGGAAAGGCTCTGGCTTAAGAGACGGTGGGAAACGGGAAACTGACAACTGCTCATACTGTCTGCAGCTCCGCACACAACACGTGGGTCCAGCGCAAGCTGTGGTCTGCGCATGCTCACTTCCCCATCATGGTCTGTACGCAGAACAAAGTGTCTCTTGTTCAAATCCAAACTTCTTTAGGTAAAAACACATCTGCAGGGTTCTGAAGAAGACCCGTGTCACCTGCTCTTTGTTTCTCAAGTCCAAAAAGAAGAGTTAATAATCACTGAAAGAAATGATGCTGAACTCGGCTCAAGTTTAGTGGATTTGATTCAGAGAGCTTCAACAGGGTTTTGCTGTTTGTTTCTTTGTTTTTAAAGGACATCAGAAAAATGTAGATGGCATCTCTGTTTTTGAAAAATGAATAGTG